TATAATATTGAGTATGACGACAACATTTTTTAACAACCTTATAAACTCGTTGCTAGTTTCCAGGTCACCTAACCTAGTTAGCTGCTGTGACAGATCCCTAAAATGCACAGCAACCGCTAACTACAAACGGTTAACCCTGTTTCTAAATATTAGTACATTTATTACAGATAAGTTACATTCACGTTACCCGCTGAGTGACTTTTACCACCGTACGCCCAACTTCACCACCACCAACGGCGATGCTAACCAGTTAGCATATCGAGCTAGTGACCTAACAGCTAGCTGCTAACGCGCGGTACCGCTATCCTCAAAGCAAATATAAAGTACTCGATACAGTAAAACTAAACCTCAAACACACATAAGATGTTCACAGTAGTAATGTGAATACAGTGTATATTCCCGATACTCACTGTCAAGGTAATGCTCCAAGTATATAGCCGTCGCCATTTCAGGTTAGCTGTTTAGCTTCTGCGTTATTCTCGTAAAAACAACCGTTGGCCGGAGAGGTGACGGGCTTGTTTTGTAACCCTGGGTCGCCCGTCGGTCAGTGGCTTCGAGGTACTTGATGCTGGTCTGAACCAGGCGGTAGTGAAACGACACTCCCTCGCTGCTGCTTTGCGGTTGCCCAGAATGAGTTCCCTCCCTCTACCACACATGCACCGTGGGGCCGTTCAGGATACAACTTTGTTCTGTGAGTTTGTGACTCGCATGCGCAAGCGGACATCTCCAACGGTTGTGTGCGGGGTCTCCTGCTGCGTTTGTCAAGTAGAACTTTTCCTCAGACGAATCATTTTACCTCAGTGTTGCTATCGATGTAACGTTATAGTTATGTACAGTGCTTTATATAGTGAATGCACCTTGTCCACGTAATTAAATATATTAATTAAATATATAAAACCACCACACACAGGAACAGCTTCTTTCCACTGACCGTCACTCTCATGAACAATTAATCAGACATACTGCACCTCCATTCTGCACTAATATCCCAAATCCATTGTTGTTCATGTTCATATATATTCTTCGATATTTATTTATATTTATATTGTACATGGTAGTTCAATGTGTATGCTTAGTTTCTCTGTTCTCCTTTGTTGTCTTTAGTGTCCTCGTTTTTATATTTTTCTTGATTATTTGTTATATTCCATGTATGTACGTTGTTGAGAGCAATGTGTAAACCGGAGTCAAATTCCATGTATGCGTACGTATACATGGCCAATAAAGCAACGCTGACAGATTAGCGTTATGTCATTCAAAACAAACGCCTCCCTCTCCCGAAGAGACTGATGCTAAAATGCACCGCGGGCGGGGCTAAAGGGGCAACTATCGAAGAGCAAAATAACAGCTGTTTTTATTTTACATTTTATATTTTACATTACTATAAGTACTGATCCACACTCCATACCAGTTGATGGCGGTAATGCACCATTTCATTGTTTACCAACCGCCAATAAACCTAAAAAAAAGAAGCAGAAGAAGAAGGAGAAGAGCAAAATAACGGCTGTCTACGGGTTGTGTCCAGTCGGTTTATCGGTCAAGCTTTTTTTTTTGACTCCGAGGAGGAGGGCATCGTCTTTTTTATGATTTAATATTTTGAATGCATCTCACTTCCGTGTTTTGCTACCTCATCACGAAATCCTTCATCTTTTTTCCTTCATAAAACATACAAATAATCAAGTAAGTATCTAAATGACACTCTGCCTTTACAAATGAATTGTTATCCTCGGTTATAAACGACCAGTGTTGGTGTTTTAAGCTATACGTTAGCTCTTAGCATTGTGAACTAGTTTAGCTTAGTACGACATATCACCACTCACGTGAGACGTCACATACAAACGTCAGTTAAGCTAAGCTGACTTCGACTGATATCAGAGCAGAAACATGCTAAAATAAACTTTACAGCTGGTTTACAATGGATTCCTGGGTTAACTGTGCTTTAATCTCGTCAGTCCGACTTGTATTATTAAGAAATGAGGATGATTCACAACTGGCCTGTTGCTCGTTACCAACTGTTACCGTTAGGCTAGCTAGCTAAGTGCAATGACAACCAGAATCCTCCTCTTCGTCCTCCAACAAGTTTATGTATGCAATGTACACCAAGCTAATGTATATGATGAAGTAATGTTACTCTGTTTATATTAATATAACAGAATATCATTCAAAAGAGTGAATGTAACACAACATAATAAAGTTATGATACCGTATGGGATAAGAGACATAGTATAAGGTGTATTATTAGTGTAGTAATATAGAAGTATAGTGTAACATAGTATATAGTGTTAGATATAACATTATATATAGTATAGTGCAGCAATGGGCTGTAATTGAATAGAATATCACAGACAAGACAGACATTAGAAAATACTGTTCACCGTGTACATAGTCACAGGATGCAGAATGGTATTTACGGAACAGTTGCTGTTGTTTGATTAGCTAATAATTACACTATAATTAGTTCCATTACTGACAGATGCCGACTGACGTGTATGTATACATATATTTATATATATATTATTGTTTTAGGTGTCTCCTCTAAGATGGCTATGGTAAAGAGTGGTTGGCTCCATCGACAAAGTGAGTAGCCTGACACAGTTCACCAGTTTATGAATATGAAACTTATTATAATACAGTTTAAAGATGCTGTGACATTTGGTGTGATGTGAATAATAATTAAGTTTGAGTGTATATTATTATATTTCCATTTAATTAAAAGGCACCATACTGCGCCGGTGGAAGAAGAACTGGTTTGACTTGTGGGCCGACGGACGCCTCGTGTTCTATAACGATCAACAGTGGGGCGACATGGAGGACGACATCCACATGAGGGTCGACTGCATCAACATACGCAACGCTGCTGCGTGCCAAGGTGACGTCATCGGATACATGATGTCATTAGCTGCACGATGATGTCATTAGCACAACTTTAATCAAAACAAGCCTCGTCACTGTTAGAGCGCGCACACACACACACACACACACACACACACACACACACACACACACACACACACACACACGGGGGAGGAGGAGAGGTGGCCCGTCATCGGCGGCACAATGATGTCATTAGCACAACCTATGTTCATATTTAAATGTCTCCTCTCTGTGTTCTCAGACTTGAACCCAGCAGAGGGGAAGATGCGTGAGGCTTTGTTCCAGATCGTGTGCAGAGACGGACGAGTCATCAGTCTGTGTGCAGAGAGTGCAGATGACGCTCTGTAAGACATTTATCACTTCGATGGGTTATTTTGGCCACTTTGGTGAAGTTGAATGTTTTGAGTTAAAACAAGAGGTTACTTTACATTTTTGTACACATGACATCTATTGCACTTCTGTCTATTTTTGGGGGAGTTTTCCCTGTTCCGATGTGAGCGTGTCGGGACAGAGGACGTTAGAAAGTTGAGTTGAATCCTTAGTTTCTGTGTTGCAGGGCGTGGACCATGGTGCTTCAGGATGCCAGAATGAATGCGGTGAGTTTCTGCTACATAAGTTTGATTTGTTACCAAAATATGAACAGAAAGTTGTTGTAAAAACCAACCGGTTTCTCTTTATCCGTCTTATTAATGAACAAGCTGCGACTAAAACTGTTTTTTATGATCTGAACAGGCAACATGAAGCTGGCAACAACTGTGAAACAACTCTCTTGTCTGTCATATAAACATCTATGTTGATAAACATACGGGCTTTATGAGGGTTTCTCAGAATTCTCTACTGCTTCTAAATGTCCAAAAAGCTCAGTTTTGTTGGTGTTCATTGATCATGCGTTTCTTTTTGTTTGTTGTTGTTTTAGGTGGTTGCTACGCCTCAGATCGGCTTTGCACAGGAAGTGAGGCCGTCTGCTCCTCCCCCCTACTCAGATTATGCTCTCCCACCTCAGGTAAAAGGCATAAACAGTATGAATATATGCAACGTAATGTCAAAGAACAGTTCCCATGATATCTTACTAAGTTACTCCTCATTTTAAAGGCGTTTTTCTACGAAAGTCCAGCAACACGTGTCAATATCCACTCGTTACGTGCATCCAGTCTTTTCAAAATAAACTTCCATTTTCACAGGAAACAACACGGTTAGGTTTAGTTTTTTTCATCTTTGATGCTTCCTGGTTAACGATTAACTGGATTACATACAAATTGCTTTCGTGGGACATCTACGAATTACGGGGCTTTCATTTTTACGTAGATAAAGCTACGAACGTAGGAGAACGGCCTGGCATATGACGAGAATTTGTTAAAAGTTTAGTTTAGCACAAAAACAGCAACGTGCCCGTGATTTTCAGGCCTCAACAGTCTTTTCTTTTCCTCAATAAACTAATCGTACTCAGCTCTAAAAATCTGTGAAATGAATTGTTACCAAAGAACAGCAGACAGGCATATAAAAGTACAATATGATTACACTGTATTCACAATTTGACACACATTTGGTTTGTCGTGATCCTTTTTAAGGGAAAACCAAGCGAACAGAAAACAAACACAATACATAGTTGGAGCTTAGAACCATCTTCTGGTGTAGCTCTGGAAATGTTTAAAAGCTCAACACTGAATCGATTGTTTCTCTAGTAACACGGAGGACTTGCCAGATCCCACAGAGGATCAACAGTCTCTGTCCTTCTTCAGCAGGTCTATGCTCCGGGTCCGTATGGAGAGTATGTCGCACCTCCACCACACGCAACACAGATCGTGTACTCTCCTGACGGGCAGCCCTACGCTGTGGCTTACCCTTATCAGTACCAAGGTAAAGTAACTGTCAGCATATGTGCAGAAGTAAACCAAGCTTCAATCCCCCCCAAACGATTGCAAAGTGAAATGAGAGGTGGTGTCTCTGCTCTAGGTGGGTACGCCGCTCCTGGAGTGAACCACGCTGTTATCCGGGAACGCCAGTGGGACGACGGAGGAGATGTGGCGTTGGGCATGCTGGCCGGAGCGGCAACCGGCCTGGCGATCGGCTCCCTCTTCGCTGTCTTCTAGTGTCTTGATTAATGTATTTATCTAGTAAGCACACCCCCTCCCCTCCCCTCCCCCCTTTATGTTTGCAGCATTCGGCTTCTTCTCTGTGCCATCACATGAGTCGGAGTAAAATGCGTCTTTTTGGGCTACTTCCATCTATGAAGGATGATTGTGATGGGCAGTGATCTGCTCCATGTGTTCTATAAACACACATACAGTAAATACTGTTAGCACTTTCTCTAATGTTTCCTACTCTCTCTGTGATGTCTAAATATGAATGTTATTTAACCAAAAAGCTATTACTCCATTTTTAAAAGGTACAGTGTGAAGCATCTAGAGTGATCTATTGGCAGAGATGGAATATTATGAAGTATGTTTTTGTTACTGTACAAGCACCTTAAAGAATCGCTGTGTTTCCGTGAGCTTAGAATGAGTTTATATTTACATAAGGAGTCGGCCTGCCGTATTTCTACAGTAGCCCAAGAGGGTCAAACCAAACACTGGCTCCAGATGAGGACATTCACCGATTCACACTTGTAAACGTCACTGCTAGATGCCGGTAAAAACCTACTCACTAGATCTTTAATAGAGAGGCACCGGTTGAAATTTTCTCGGCTGATTCCGATCTTATTGAAAAGTCTGACCTGGTCATTCTGATCATCTTTCTTTCTCAGAATCATGATTCACTGTCAAAAAAAAGGGATATATGATATAGATATCGATCGGCCGGTCTCGGGTCGTGGCCGATCAGCTGACAACCGGTTTCGACCGGTGGCCGAACGCTCGGTGTGTCTCTACTCTTTAAAGAGTTATTTAAATAACAGGAAAGACACTTCTCCATTCATGTACTGTACATTTCAGGTCATCACTGTTTGTTTTCTTTATGTTTGCAAAATGACTGTAATAGTCATCAGTGTATTTATTTTTCTTTAGTTTTGTGTTCACCTCTGTGTACTTTACCTTTACTTTGTTTTACTCGTCTGTTTTGGGTGCGATTACATGAAGTGGTTCTTTGGCTCCTCGGGTTACTTGTGGTGGAGGCGAGCGCGCGCACGCACGGACACACGCACGCACACACACCCTTTAAATTTGAGGTGGGATCTGGTTGTGATGGATGTCTGATGATGTCACCACCAATAAGTCTGCATAAGAGGAACCACTGGATGGAAGCGATAAGGGACGTCTCATTACTCATGTGTTGTTCATACATGCTCTATTTATGGTCATGTTTTCATTGGCAGTTGAACCATACCTTACTTTTCTTTTTTGTCATTTGAAATGCGTTTGCTTTGATATTTTGGTTTTATTTCGGTAGGTTCGGTGCAGTCTGCACAAACACCAATCAGGTCGTTCCGTCTCTTGTTTAGTTACAGTTCAGTTTTCACTCCAAATGACTTGAATATCGTCAGATGTTTTCCATCATTCATGTGAAGTGTGACCGTTTATTCACTTTGAAAAAGCAACTTCTGCTCAGTAGGAAACATGTTTGCTCTGCACATCTTTATATTAATGACACTACGAGATGTTGAAGATTTCATTTAACTGAAGCAAACTATCAGCTTGTGCAAGCGGCGTAACGATGATGTAATCTTTTGTATATTTCTCCTATTAAATTATGATCTACCCTGCATTTAGAATATATATGATAGTTAACTAACAGATGTATTTTCAACAACTAAATATATGTTCACAAAGTTACTAAAGAGTCCTGTTGTTTCTGTGTTTATTTAACCCTGAGACGTTCGTTCACACATGTCGTGTAGGATACAGCAATAGTGCAAATCTCCACCGTAACAAGTTTTATTCATGTAACCAGTAAGTGACCTCAAACCCCCAAAATAAACACGCCGAGCATTCACACTTGTGTCTGAGATCAGGCAACATACTGAGAGGATGTATAAGAACTTCACATCACAGTAACCGACTACTACGCTCTGAAAGTTTAAACTAGAAATGCAGATGATTTACTTATAGACAGCATTTACAAATGCTTTAAAGGCATTGTTGTACAATATTTGATATAATTTAGTAACTCAATAGAAGCCCAGAAGGCCCATTTGAAGCTTGTGATGATAACTTTGTGTATAGAGAAACAAGAATAACCAGTAAAAGGTTATTTACATGTTTAAAAGAGTCCGTTTTCATACATTTGACAGCAATAAATTCCCATTTATAAAAACCAACCCTGAAACTGATTCTGTTCAGTGCAAAACAAAGACTATACTAAGAGGCATGTAGTGTTGCATTCACCCACTGCATCATGACCATCTGTTGTTCATATTCTAGAACAGTGATGGTGTCTTTAAAACAAATAAAGATCACTTTGGTTTGAGACATGCCAAATAAAACCAATACACTAAAGAACAAACCGTACAAACGTGAAGCTATAAACACAAGCAACAGCGGATCAATTAATTTGTGATAAATAGTGCTGATGGTGCAGATGATTAATTGATTAGTTGAAGAAAAAGTCATCAATTAAGATTTTGATCATCAATTAATCATTTTGGTCAATTCTCCTTCATAGAAACAGGTGCTTATCTTGAACTACAACCTTAAAGGGAGAGGTCGGATGTTTTTGAAGATGGGTCGTATGAGGAACGCATCCATAGTCAGTGTGTTACCAAAACAGACAAGAGTATCAGCAAAGCAAAGCAATGTACTGCTGTGGAGGTATGTTGGACTCCTAAAAGAATCAAAATCAGTTTAAGTGAACGCTATATTTAGAATGTTTTCACCTCTTTACCTTGATGTTAAACAGCTCTTTCTGACGGGAACTTAAGCCGTTATCTTTGATCTCTACAAAGACACCAGACTCCGTTCACTAAAACACTGATTCTACCTCTCAGGAGACAGGAGTCGCTGGTCTACTGCTGCCTCCATCAGTTTGTGTTACTGTGTGACTTTGGTGTTTTAAAGGTTTAGTTCTGATTCACCAAAGTCACACAACAACAAACAAACTAACAGACGGAGGCAGCGGAATGACCAGAAACTCCTGTGCTCTGTGAGGTAAAAATGATTACTTTTGTCAATGGAGTCTGGTGGCTTTGAAGAGAGCAAAGAGAACAGCTTTACTTCTCCGCCAGAAAGGTCTGTCTGACAGCGAGGTAAAGAGGTGAAAAAAACCAAAATATAGCGTTCAATTAAACCGATATAGATTCTTTCAGGAGTCTAAAATACGTCCACAGCAGTACATTAGTTTGCTCCCGTGCTGGTTCTCCTGTCTGTTTCTATAAACTCATCTGCTGTAGTAGAACACCTCATACAGACACACTTCTAAACATCCAAACTGTCCCTTTAAAATTATTTCTATTGCTTTGACCGCTAATCGGCTTCAGAAACTAAAGAACTTTAGGCTCCAGTAACTGGTGATGGATGTTTTCAAGATGATTAATCGAATGATCGCAAACGTAATTGACAGTGAAAATAGTTGTTGGTTGCAGTCTTATTAAAACGTAGAGCGTGAGTATTATTAGCCTTCTTGACCAAAGTCCTCTGTAAACTTCCTCAGCTTGTCCAGGTCCTGATCGTTCACCGTCGGCTTGGTGCTTGCGAGTGACCTCAGCATGTTGGGCTGCACGTGAAAAACATCACAATGAGTGACGATCGATGCCGTCCACGTATAAATAAACATACTTTCCTCTCCTGGCCGAACACTGAGAGTCTTTTCTTACCATGGACACGACCGGCTCCAGAAGTTTCTCCCCAGGAACGTCCATCCACGTCATCGCGATGGCGTTGGGATCACCCGGCGAACACGGAGTCAGGAGGTCGTCCACCACGACGTCGGGGTTGTTCCACGATGACCCGCGGACCTTAAACCAGTGTGTGTGTGTGTGTGTGTGGAGACGGACAAAAAGAAACATGAGACGCTAAGGTTCATACAGGTGTAGTGGCAACGTTTAGGTTGAGAACGAGGAACTATTTCACAACTTCTTGAATGAATAATGTCTATTTAGTGTCTCGCCATTAGTGACCTCTCTCGTTAAGAAAGTTATTTCACTGAGGTAATAAATCAAGAGAGAAGTAGAGTCATTTTCTCAGAGACTTCTATACAACCAGAGGAGTCATATTCCAAAAAGACCTTCTAGGATAACGAGCAACGTTGAACTGTTTGAGTGTTTTTACCTTTTTGAAATGAGTGGAGGACTGAACCAGCCTGACCGGCTGCATCAGGGCGTCTCTAACGATGACACTGATGTCCGCCCCAGAGTAGCCCTCCGTCTTTTGGCCCAGGGTGACGAAGTCCGCCTCGGCCAGGCTGTTGGGGGTGGAGCCCAGATGCAGTTTGAACATGAAGGAGCGGGCGTGCGCCTCGGGCAGCGGGATGTAGATTCGCTTTTCAAACCTGAGAGAAACAAAAGATTCAATCAGCCACCACGAAGCATTCAACCTCTTATGTCCTGATTGTTTTTAATCTCTTAAACCTTCCCTTTAGATCATCTGTTCCAGCAGCAAGAGACAAGTGACCTGATGTTTAAACTTCAGAACAGATGGTTGTGTGAGACGTTGTGGTGCCTCGTCGTGCTTTAGCTGCAATGTTCATCATGTCTAATAAAACATTTGCTGCTCTTTCCCCCCTAATCAATAAGAAGGTTGTGATAAACACCTTTAAGTACAAACATAGAAGTTTCCCAGTTTTAGCAGAATACTTTGCGTATTATGCAGCAGACAGAAATATGACTAGAACTTCGCCACCAAACTGGCCCAGAGAGGAGAGCTGAGATGGAAGCTAAGCTAACCCAGCTAGGACCTCAGGCGACTCCACTACCCAGCATGCTCCTGGCTGTCTGATGCCTGATAACAGGAAAATAAGACGTTTGAAAGCAGCGGGAGGTCGGTGACTGTTGAGCCCACATCTTCACACAGACCTGGATCCATCGTGGTCCAGGATCAAGCTGCCCTTGATGGGCGGACAGCAGGACAGAGAGCAGGACCACGGTGGGACCAGAGGAGGAGGACTCTGTGTTTACATCATGATGCTTGGTGCTCAAACATCCGTCACAGTTGATGGACAATGTGTGAAGATGTCGGCCATATTATCTGATCAAAGAATTGTTTTTGTTGCTGCTGTTTACATTCCTTATGATGTTAATATAAAAACAGCACCACAGGAATGTTCTACTGCTTTTGTTTTGTTTGTCATGTGTTTACTGTGTCATAAATGGCCTTCAACTGAATTTCATTGTGCATCTCTGTGTTGCATTATGACAATGAATGATGATTGAAATCCTTGAATTCATTAAATAGTTGTTGAGATATTTCAGGCTTGATCAAGCGAAGGACATTACTTGCATAACAAAAGAGGTAAATCCCCTTTAGATGCAGGTCAGGATTGTTTATGATTAAGAATAATAATCAAATTGTGATTATATGTAAAAAGTATTCTCGTATGTACGGCAGTATTTTTACACAAGTGAAACTAACCTCCTCCTGATTGCAGAGTCCAGCGTCCACGGTATGTTTGTGGCTCCGAGGACCAGGATTCCCTCGTTGTCATTTCCAACGCCTGAGAGGAGAAGGACATTTTGTCGTAAACAAAGAACTTGCCACACAGATTAGTGTCAGCTTTGTCTCTCCTCGCTCACCTTGCATCTGGACGAGGAACTCTGTCTTGATTCTGCGCGCCGCTTCGCTCTCGTTCTCGCTCCTGGAGCCGCAGAGGGAGTCGATCTCGTCGATGAAGATGATGGACGGCTTGTGCTCTCGGGCTAAAGTGAACAGGCTCTTCACCAACCTAGAGAGAGAGAGAGAGAGAGAGAGAAACAGCCAGATGTTTAGTGTCAGTTTATCTCATTCAAAAGATGTATCGTCATGTAAAGAACCCCGGGGCCTCACTTCTCACTCTCACCCAGCCACTTGGACACGAGGTCGGAGGAGGCGATGGAGAAGAAGGTGGAGTTGTTGGCCTCCGCGGCCACCGCCTTGGCCAGGTAGGTTTTCCCTGTTCCCGGAGGACCAAACAGCAGGATCCCCCGCCCTGCACAAATAGATGTATCATTAAACACTACTCATTTTCAGGAGGTGTTAGAGCTGGCTTGTTGTTTTCAGTACCTTTGAACAGATGAGGGAATTTGATGGGCAGGATCACGGCTTCTTTCAAGGCTTCTTTGGCGCCCTCTAGTCCAGCTACATCGTCCCACTTAATGTTTGGCTTTTCCATGACAATAGCACCTGTGAGAGGGATGGGTTTGATGAAGCACATCTCTTTCTGCAATGTCATGCAATGATGTTGATGTTTTACGCATCTTATTTAACTGCTGCATCTAGAGAGCTGATACTTTGGTACCAAGTTGATGCCAAAATGTAACGCTGCTTGTTCCC